CTCTCTACATAGACATATATAGGTATATACGTACCCCACTGGTTCTGCTTCTCTAGAGGACCCAAACTGAGGTGCTGGCTTCTGCTGTACAAACAGGCACTGAGCCAGAAGTCTCCAGCCCCGACGTGTCTGCTGAGCTCAAAGCAGGTGCTCAGTAAACCGACTGGATGGAGAGCAGCACCACGGACATTAAACACAGTATTTCTCACGAATCCACGGGAGCCGCTTAACATCTAGGCACTGCACTACGACAGCATTTGTGCTAATGCTTTTTAAGTGGCACCGAACCAAATACTGCAGAAAACTTTCTACCCTTTTCTATGGGCCAGAGGTAACAGTGTATTTAAGAGCCTCCTCCTCTAGCTGCCACCTGTCATGCCCTAGAGCTGACTCTAGGCACTGATAGATCAGGGTGGGTGGGGGAGCAGCAGAGGAATCAGGAAAATCCAGACCTGCTGCTGCTTTTTGCAGCTATCTGGGCCCTGTCGGCAGTTTCCTGGAGACACAGAATGCAGGCACGTCAAGGACTTTCTGAGAGGCCCCAGGAGCTCCGGGTAGCCCGACCCCTCACTTTGCAGAAGAGGTGCTTGGAATCAGTGTCACACCTTGGGTCACTCTCTCCTAATGCTTCAGTTCCTTCCAGGGATCATGGTGGAACAAGGGAGATGCCCTTCTCTCCTCATTTCAGGGAATGTTGGGTCACAGGCCATCTGTCAGGCCTCAGATACCCTTTCTGGCATGTGCCCACGTTTCCCAGGCCTCTGTGTGAACTGCCTGATGAAGAGACGTGCTCTTCAGGTTCCAGCGAAGGTTTCTTCACCATGCTCAATGGCCAACAACATAGGCCAACCAAGTCTTCAGTCAGGAAGTCTTTCTCGAGGTCTAATCAGAGGCTATGCTGCTGCTGTGCACCTTACTTTCCTTTCCTTGGCACTTCTGTGTGGCTGGAGGAAAGCTGCTTGCTCCTGTTCTCACAACCTTTGCTAAGCTGTCAGCTTTCTTTTCTAAATGTCAAGGCCCATGCTAGCACCTGGAATGTTTACTAACTTCATGGCTGTTTTGTTTTCATTTCCGGGGCTCTCCTCTCAAGCACCCCCATGTGTGTCCCCCTTTACAATGAAAAGCTGGAATCTGTATCCCAATATCCTAATGAAATGACTATGTAACGGACGAGCTCTCTG